GGGGGGGACAGGGAAACCCGCCCGGCGGCGGGGTCGGCGCCAGCTCCGCGTCCATGGGTGGAAGCCGTGTGATGCCTCGCTTGCAGAGCCCTCTTTGCAGCTTTCCAAATGGGGTGTTTTTAAGAGTAGTTGCAACCTGAAATAAGCAAAATGTCACGGTTGCTCTGCAGAGAATTTAAATCAGCAAGTGGTTATGCAAGCTCATCTCCGTGGCCAAGCGCGGGGCTCCATACAGAGCAGGGTACGGGTTTGGAAGAGGAAAACTCTAGGATGTCAGTTGCTGTGTGATGAGCTCCACGCTTTAGTTACTGGCATTATGAGAATTTGAAATACTACTCTAATAGTTTACAAAGGGCAAACATCACGCTAATACTGAGTGGCCATCTGAGCTAAGTTAATGCTGTTCTAAGAAAAAGTTATTAATGTATCATTACTAAATTATAGACTAGCCATAGGAGACTCTTGTAAGTCTTTATTTTCATTAATGAGAGTGGAGTCTGGTACAAAGGACAGAGTCCTAAAATTCTACTCTGCAAGGAAAAAAGTTGAAAGGCATTCAGTGCTGTTCTTGCTGGGGTTTAGCAAGCGGGTCCCCTCTTGGCCACTGTCACTTCACTACTGTTGAACAAACGACTGTGCCAAGATATACATGGAAGAAGGAAAATGATCGTATGCCAGAAAGCCCCTTGCTCACCTCACAGCTGAATCTTCTGAAACAGATTAATAATCCTCACGTAGGAATATTCACACTTCTTTCTGATAACCTGTTCACGCTCTCAAACAAATGTTTACAGGTTTGGGTTCACGGTAATGTAAATCAGTTGCATATAGGTCACACTGAAATGGTGATGTTTTGCAGGTGTTTTGTGTTCTCTGGATACTACCTGTCACTGTTTTCTGAATTTAGTTCTTTCTCATGTGGAAATATATATGAAATACTAGATTTTACTCTGCATCATTGCTAGGAGTATAAATCGTGTGTTGACTGATGTCTAGTGAAAGACAAAGTGGTAATTACTGAGATACAATTGCAGGTGTCTGTGGGCACATGCAAAAGTTCAAGTTGGCTTTGTTGATCACTGGAAATTAAACTGAACATTGTAATGCTCATGGCCTGTTCCTTTTCTGTTGAAAAGATCTGTTGTCTGCTTTGGAGTCCAGAGTTACTAATTGTTTTCGTGTTTTCCTCTTTCCACTCTTCCACAATGAGAAGTTTTGCAATGTTTTCTGTACAGACAACAGAAGTTATATTTAGGATTCACAGTGCTGTGCAGCCTGCCTATTGAATCCAAAGCTTCCCCAGTGCATATGAAGTAGAACCAGTACGACAGAATTGTAATGGGCTCGGTTCCATCATCACAGATGGATGCGAGTGTGTGCAGCCAGGAGAGCATGGCAGATAAGTCTGTTAGGGCAAGACCCCCTGCACAGATCATGTAAACTGCTGTCCATCCTAATCTTTTACATTTCTGTAGTTTGGGGATATGTCACTGCTGCATCATTTTTTTAGGCTAGATTAAATGCTGAAAATAAAACATAAGCATTGAAGTGAGCTATGGAAGTAATGGAGTGATTTAAATCAGTGAAGAAGATATTGGAATTCAGCAAAGTACCTCGTGGGGATCTCCAGCTGGAGACTGCTGCTAAGAGGGCTACAAAATGGGCTAAAACACAATTTCCTTCTGTGACATCTCTCTTGTGCACGCTGGTATCAGTGAACACTGCCACTCTGTGGCAGTTTCCTTTCAAGGAGAAAGTTGAAGTCACTGTAGAGAGCTTGAGACTCTTGTTGTTCATAATACTTACTTAGTAAGTTATAACACAGCTGCTGCTTTCGTCTGAATACAAGGAAGGCAACGCATCTTGTATTCTTTGATACTGTCCTCTCTGAAGAAGTTTTTTTTACTCTGTTTGAATCCAGACTCCATGTATAACAGGCTTCTACCTTGGTCCATAGTAGTTTCTAAATCTGTGATGGTTTGGAGCTGTCTGTAATTACTTAGCAATAACAGATCTGCCACAGCGTTGTTTGGATTAGCAGCCTCTGAAGGCTTGGTCCTCAAAGCTTTTGAATCAGATGCCTTCTAGACCAGAAGTTGTTACTATGAGAGAGCTCTTTGTTAGCTTTTGGGAAGCAGATAGGTGGTTGCTATCACAGTCCCAGGGACCAGTGTACTTTAGAGACACTGCGCCACGCAGTTTGGAGCAAAGCAACACCACTTGGTTTAGTGATAAGAAATGCAATGCACTTCATCTCCCCTAGACATAAAGGGTCCCTCCCTACTGGAATAAAGGCACGTGCCTGAAGTGCTAATATGGAAGTCTGCGTGACTAGAACTTGTAGTCATATTGCTTGCTTTTGTGAAGAAACAGGAGACTGTGGTCTCCAGTGCTGTCATTCTGATATCTTCTTGAACAAGCACTAAACTTGCTTTAAAATGTCATAAAAGAAAATGTCACGATTTGGCTTCAGCATTTCTCGTTTGTACTTTAAACTGTTGTTCTTTAAAGCAATTTTAGGTTCAGTGACTAATTTTCTCCATGAGGAATACAATTTCTTTAAAAATATATATTTTTTCCCGCTTTTAAGTTAGAAGCACTGTTTTGTGTCCACGTTCTCACAGCAGTGTCGTAGCTGGCTTTTCACAGAGTAGGGACATCAAATCAAGCCAGATTGTTGCCCATATAAGATGTATGAAACTGCAGGACCCAAACCTGTGTTGGTGGATGAAATATATATATGCATAATAATATGTATGCCTATTTATCTTATTCTGAGCTTTGTGAAACACAGAGAAATACTTGCACCAAAATACGTGTAGTAGTTGAATCATGTAATAATACATTTACTCTGAAATGTTCAGCGTTCGTAAGCTTTTCATTGTACGTGGGAATATTTCCTCTGTATAAAAGCAGAAATGCACTCAAACGCTGATTCTGCTCAGAATGTGCTCAAAAGCTGGTTTGCCATCAGCTATTACAAAACACCCTCACTTG